TTTCGACAGCGGTTCTACCAGCTCAGCTTTAGCAGCAGCAATTTCACTCGCGGTTTTTGGAGACAAGGCAACAGCATGGACGTGAAGCTGTTCCTGTGCTACCATAGTAATCGGCGATAAAGTTCCAATATCCAATCCAACATGTACGGCGAGATACTCAGATGATGGATTCGCAATTTGGACAACTACCGAACCATCAACAGCACTCCATGTTGAGACGGTACGAGCCACGATTAAACGCTCAAATTCGGGCGGAACAGTATCGAACGAAAGTTCATCTGCCGACAAAATACGCGGCTCGACTACTACGGCGGTATCAACGGACGGTATGCATTCAGTAAATGCTTTTACGATCATCGCATGACGAGGGCGAATATTATAACGTTGACGTAATTTGACTGAGTGTTCTTCCGCATTTCGATGAACGGCTGCAACACGGGGGGACGGCGACGGATCATAACCGTGTTGAGATTTTTTACGATGAATAGCGGGGACAATAGTGTCACTACACTCAAAAGTCAAACGTTCATTTTTCCAGTCAAGTACTGCCCCAAACCGAGTCATTGCATCATTGTCTAGGAGTATTTGATCAGGACCGAGCGATGGTACGACCAACGCATCGATTCGGCGGGACACGTCTCCCAACCGAACAACGAACGAAATAAATCCTAAAACTTTGACTGGTGCACCATTTGCGGCACTGAGTTTTAGGGACGGAGACGGTATTGGCTCTAAAAGAGCAAACGATAACGATGGGTCAACCCATTTTGCCACAGAGCTACTCTGTCATGCAATTCCAAGCGGTACGACTACCATCACGCTCGACGGCAGCTTGGAACCGTGCCATGACAGTACGGAAACGGAGAGCATACGAGGAAACAGATTCCTGTGGCCCTTGAACGAACGTTGCGAGATTGTGTGCCTCCTCCTCCACGGAATTTGCGGGAAGAAGTGAATCAAGCAAAACAGAACACATGGCATCCCACGTGGTCGGAGGGGGAAACGACCCTTTTTCCTCCGGTTCTGTGAACGTGCTTGCCTTAGAACAGTCTATCTGTCCAGACAAGATCTGCTGTATCAGGGTCAACACTTCTCCTGTTCCCACCAGGGCAACGTGCTTGAGTGCAACCCCATCAGCAAACGACGAATCCGTGTTGACGGCTGCGGCTTTCAGCCCAACCACCGTACGAAAATGTTTCAAGATTTCGATCACGTTTTCTGTACGGTCTCCAGTCAGCTTGGGAACGCTGCGGAGGTCAGCCGCGGATATTGAAACGGTAGCTGCTTGTAGAAACGTACGAACGGGGGATTCGGTCGCTACAGCAGTCGATGCCACCTGTGACATTGAAGTAACAGGTGGTGTGACGACGGACGATTGCGCATTCATAGATGCAACCTGTGCTGTTGAAGTAACAGGTGACGCTACGATGGACGATTGCGCACTAGTAGGTGCAACTTGCAATGTTGAACTAGCTGTAGTTGCACTACTAGACGTACACGACACCGAAGTAGACGTGTTGACGGGCGCAGTGAGCGACGGACTCGGCGAGGGATTTGATCCACTCGTTGCCTGCGCGGACGGAACGAACGATGGTGCTCCAGGGGACAACGGTGTCAGCCTGGGCAACGACGGAGCTAAAAACGGAACGCTTGAACTTACCGCTGGAGTTGAAGTTGCACTCGCTCCACGAGACGAGGCTCCACGAGACGACGTAGCTGACGCTGTTGCGACAGACGATGAAGCAGGCACCGACTCCGTTAGGAGACGCTGCTGCCACGCGACAGTAGCTGGCGAGAGCTCCGGAGGAGTCTGCCTACGCCGCAACGCTCGGAGGTACGCTTTCACCTCCTCCTTGCACGTTGCCTCCAGCAACTGCAAGGACGATAACCGGTCCACACCATCATCGTCATCCGATGAACGGTGCGACCGATTCCCTTCGTCTTCCGACAAAGAGGACGACGACGACGATGGAGACGGCGACGACAGGCCGGTGGGGGACGGTAGGACGTGTTGTTCTTCGTCCTCCCCTTCGGGCTCGAAGTCGACGAGCTGCTGTTGGTCCCCCTCCTCTTCCTGGAAGTGGACCTCTTGTATTTTTCTCGATTTTTTCTTGTTCCCCATGATGGCAACTGCCGCAAGGTAGTGCCACCACCGAACAAAGAACTCAACAAACACACGTAACGCCGCTGACGCCACTATGAGACTGTTGTCTCCAGGTTCGCGTGTGAGCAAGTTCCCTTAGGGATGGGCGGTGTGGATACACACCGGATCAACCTCTGGTGGAGAGGCTGATGTACGGAACGTTGAGTCGAGTCTGTGTGAGTGAGGCAGGTGGGGATCAACCTTGTGTTGAAGCAAGGTTCAGCATCCAACCTGCACTGACTCTATCTGTGGTAACACCCCGAAGGTAGATCTCCGACAGGTCATCTGACGTCACAATCTACGACAGTCTGAGGTGGCATTCACATAACCACCCTTTTCTATTGTATGCAGCGGTCAGTCGTGGTCTCGGTTTAGCGGCCCAAGAGTGTAAAAAAAAATGTAACCGCCATTGAGGGCATAACCGCAAAATCGGGTTCGCAAGTGTAACGTATCAACGAGGTGCAGCCGTTTTGCCAGATTTTGGGGCCTCTATTCAGGGCATCCGGTCAACCGGGACCGCTAAACCGGGACCACGACTTACGTTTAATTGCGGAGTAATTGAGCGGCTGCCACTGACCTCGATATCTCAGCCCCAGCAGCAAACCAGAGCGTGCCAACGCGCGCGTCACCTCTTCGTGGTGGGTGCCCTCTACTGATACCAGGTCTCAGGCATAACCAAGAAAATATTTTTGAGAGTTCGTTTTGGGTCTTTGAACTTGAAATTTGGCTGGTGCACTTGTTTCTCTTGGTTTCAAAGAGCTGCGCGCGAAATGCTCGTCTAGGCAAGCCCGAAAGCGCTGCTCTGCGTGGCGAGCCAAACGTTTTTTCCCACTCAACGCCTTCCTCCTGGCTTGGTGTATCTGCCGTGTGATTCCACTGTTTCAGTCTTTTTCGAAACCAGAGTCGCCTAATAGGTAGGCAGCGCCTCTATACCTTGAGAACGAGATCCATGGAGTAATTGCGTGATTGCGCGTAGTGCCGGGGGGCAAACACTCCTGCTGCTGCAGGTTCTCGATGGGCATACGGCCGAAGTTACGTAGCTATATCGCTCCGCTGCATGGAATGCGCTCAACCACGGAAGGCCCCTCCCTGGGGCGGTCCCCTCTTTGACTTCTTTGACGCATCAGGGTGCGAGTCCTTTGTGAAGGGGCAGAGAAGTGTGGGGGGGAGGAAGGACACTCCCGCTGAGAGTGTTTTCTCCCATGATCGAACGACACATGGGAAAAAATGAGCTTCCCGTAAGTAGACATTTTCAGCGCCGCACCCGTGGTTCAACCTGGTGTTTAACCACGTGCTTAGTGTAACCGTCTGAACATCCTTGGCAATCCAGAGACGGGAGTTAAGGGGCCTTGTAGTTTCCCCTACTTTTTTGCCGCTTTGGGTCGGCATCGCGAAGAACAAAGAAATACAGGGGCGGGAATGCCAGCTGCATGTGGGCGCTTCGACCGACGTTTAATGGTGCATGTCGTCGTTTTTCACTGCGAACACTGGATCTGGTAGACCTTGGCATCGCGGATTCGCCACGCAAGAGAAGGCCACCAAATTCGGGCACAACGCCCTGGGGGAGACCTACTCCCGGCATGTCATTTGCGGGGGGGTTGGTTTCATAAAAGATAAACCTCCCCGCCGATCTGCGGTTTCTCGGCATGGATTTTCGGTATGATCTGGAGAACCTAAGAGGTAACAAATTCAAGGTGTGGTTGTGTTTCCCATTTCGACGGAAAGAATCCCAAAACTCCCATATGCTCAAATTGAAAACTGCGTTGCGTTGAGAAGATCGCAAACTGCCGAACTTGGGGAAGCATGTGATGCGCACTGCAGGAGCTCGAAGCCGAGTTTCAACTCGAACGTGGGCATGAAGCTACCTACCCAGAGCTTCGGAAACAATAGCAACATGTTCCTAGACAAGCAGGGACTGCACCAAAAGCACTTTGTTTTTCTGACGCCAGCATTCTGGGACTGGTGTATCGCCTGACGTCTGTACTTGGCGCTGGTTGAAAAAAAGAACAATCCTTCGTCTCTTGACTATGTACCGGCACGCCGAGGAAGGCCGCTATCGATCACATACGTGTTCTTGATTCTTATGAATTTGCAGCTTTGGTCGAGGTGATTCGCCGGCACGTAGGTGTAACTCTAACCCGATTCCTGAAGCCAACCATCGTAGATACATCGAATCACCATCGCCGACGAAGAAGTTCCTGATTCAGTCCGTCGAGTAAATGCCGACCCTTGCCCGCAACGTGCCGCCAGTCACTTTGGTCATCGGTGACTCGACTGGGAAGAATGGAGATGACCTTGAATCTTCTGCTGGGGCTCGTGGCCTCCTTGAGCAGCTCCACAGGTGGGCGGGTTCGAACGCTCGAATAATCATTGGGGAATGCAATCGATTGGGTGTGCGTGCGTGGACCCCTCTCTCGGTGGGTAAAGTACAGATTGCAAAGTTTTCCCGCGACAGTAGGAAAATGCGCACTGCACGCGAATCCCATTCCGGGCCCGCTTTCGCTTTGACGACAACCTGACGAGGTGGTATTTTGCTCGAAATACAACAGCTGTCTGTCTACATGAGCTGAAGTGTGTTTCCCTAAGAAATTGAAGCGTCTTTCCATCATTTCTCACGTGGAAATTCTTGTTGCATCATCGTGCGGTTGTGGTATTGTCCTCTGATGAAAGGAATATGTTCAGGTCCTTGTCTACCTTGAGATGCAAGACGTTTCCTTCAGCTCCTCGAACAACCACCCCGGTACTTGTAGTGGCGGCGGAGTTAATGCTCGATCGATTTAACATGGTGGCGGTTTTCTCTCAGAAGGTAGAATGCATGAAGACTTGTCTGGTCTCTTGCTCGTGTATCTTTTTGCTGATGCAAGGTCGATTCGGTAAATACTGCAATCTGATTATGGCGATGCTGCTCAATTGTTGATCATTTCTCCACCCGTTTTCTCGTTCCGCCTGATCTGTGATTCGTATGTTGCAGCCAGTACATGCCTAGATCTCACCGACGACGTCCATAAGTGCAAGACTGATGAAAACGGAACCATGTGAGCCAGCCACCCCCGGAAAGGCGTTTTCGCCATTTTCGCGAAGGTCTCAAATGCAGATGAATGTGCCGTTGACACGCCATCCGTTCGGAATCCGCGTGGCTCGCCTCAACGAGCTCGTTTGCTGGTGGCGATTTGTTCGTCGATGCCTCAATCTGGTGGCGGTTACGCCTGGCGTCCAATATCCGTTGCTTGCGAAGCGTTGGAGCAGTTAAGTCGATGAGATTCGGCCAAGGTGTTACCCGCACATTTCCGCACTACCATGTTTGGGACAAAGCCACCGCGCCACAGAACAGGACTTGACGTGCCCTCCCTTTGGTGTGTGTGCCATCTTGTCCCAGGCTCCTGTGGAGCTGCAGCATTAGTGATGAAGACGGGGAAGCCCTAGGATTATGTTTGGACTATGCGGGGCGGAGCAGCATATTAGACCTGTGAGTGGATGGGTTTTGGCGCCAGGTGCACCTTGAGCTGGAGCTTGGAGGTGATTGGCACCTGTTTTAAGTTGTACAGAAGGGGGTGCTGAACGATACCCCGTTCATGATGCGAGCAATATTTTTGTTCAGCCAACCGGGTTGAAACTTGCCATCATTGAGCGAAACACATCACACACCCTATGAGCCCTCAACAAGCGTGCCCGAAACGCTACTGCCGGAATTTCGTCTACAACAAATGGGGTGTCCAACGAACTAGCTCATGACTAAACGCGGAGAGCCACGCAGGGTGCACATTTCATTTCTTTATTCTTAATCACCCGGCGGCAAAGACTCCGTGACTAGCCAACGCGATCGAACGTCACCTGTGCATCTGGTGGGCTGGCCTGCCTTGTACGTGGTCATGTACTCTGCGATAGCCAGAACTGATTCCTGGCTATAACCTGTTGTTCTCTGCTCCACTCGATGCGTTCTTTCGACGCCGAAAAGGAAACTGTCCTCCAACGAGCTCACCGTCCTGCCGGACGATATTTTCCAGGATCTCACTGCCCTTCAAGAGCTGTAAGTGGCTACAGGCACGTTTATCGGTATGGATGCTTGTGTGAGATGGATTCGTGCTGTGAATTAACCGCCAGCCATTTGGGTTTTGCAGGTGCACGTGTTGCGCTGTTTTTTGCAGCGTGCAGGTTTTTGCCGTGCTTGGGCGAGGCCGGGCAAAGTTGTGGCGCTACTGTTGGAGGGTAGCTGTCGAAGTCGACGAACAGTAGCGCAATCAGGCCTGCCCTAGTGGTGGTATGCATTGCACCCCTGAACTAGTTGTGAAGGCAATCCTATTACGTGTGATATACACGAAATTGTGAATTTTTCAATGGATGGCTACGTTGATCTCCAACGAGAATCATAAAAAGTCCGTGACTATATCAATGTGCTTTCAAACCTCGTCTGTTCATGCTGATGGGCTGGTCATGCCTTATATATAGATCACCATCTACGGCAGCAAGGGCGTACGTTTAGCTTACTTGTCTCTACTCCGCTGGCCGCGTTCCCTGGACACCCACAGGAAGCTATATAACAACAGCCTCATCACCCTGCCGGAGTTTGTATTCAAGGATCTCACGGCCCTGGAAAATCTGTGAGTAGCTGTACGATGCGTTCGCCAGTGTGGTGCTTGTAAAATAGGCTCATGCTGCGCAGTGACCGTCAGCATTTGGGCTATTCTCGGTTTGCTGAGCTGGCGATCCATGCTCTTTGCGAGATAATGTTCTGATATATATAAGTGAGTGCTGGGGTTTAGAATGGTGCTACAAGGTACCTGTCGAGGTCAACGAGGGTTGGTATTGTCGTGCCAGCCCCCGTGCTCTAGTGGGCCGTCAGACGGGGTATGTCGTGTACCCCTATATACAAGTTAGGACGGAAAGTTGGTCGCCGCTGATGACCCGGAAAAAGTTGGGGGTTGGCGAAAACTTCATAAATCTGTCAGTTCATTTGGATGCCGCCTGTGCACTATGGTGGGCTGGTCATGCCTTGGAGTTGGCCATGTACTGTGCGGTATCAAGAATTGATTCATGGTTAACGTGTTGTCTCTGCCCCGCTCTTCACATTCCCTCGACACTCAATAAAGCGACCTGTCTTCCAACGCGCTTACTACATTACCGGAGGGAGTATTCCAAAATCTCACGGAGCTTCAAGACCTGTAAGTGGATGGGGCGACATTGTTTGCGGTAGAGTGCTCATGGTACGCAATGACCGCCAGCGTTTGTATGGCCTTCTCGGTTTGCCTCACTGTTGGTGCGGTATTTCAACGATGCTTGCGAGAGAGTTTCACGATGTCAGCAGCGTTGTGGGGATTGCTGGGGAGTATCATGACACTAGATGACAACTGCCGAGGAGGCTCTGTACAGTCGAGGGACCTTCATAGTGCCGGTTGAATAGTGCCAGGTGCCCGGTTTAGTGCCGGTGAAATCCCCGGACACAGGCGGAGCCCTCAATAGTGCCATACCGGCGCTATTTTGAGCATGCCCGGTATAGTGCCGGTTGGGCGCCACTGTCACCCTCAATAGTGCAGGTTCATCCCCCCGCGCGCACACACACAGCACACGCACACACACAGACATCCAGGCAGAGGACAGACTCTAGACAGAGGAGTAGGGTACAGGTTCTGGTGCAGACCAGAACAGCTCTACGCAGGTGCGTACCATGCCATGTGCGGAAGGTGAACTGTGCGCTCAACAGGATAAGACGCCGCAGGCCCGACACGGCCACCCTTGCAAGGGAGGATGTGGCGGGCGGCTCCACGGCAATTGCGGCAGCATGTTTGGCGACAACGAACAGCACCGCATCTGCAGTGCGTGCGTCGCCAAGGACGGCAAGCACAAGGCGCCAGCAGCTGACACCGGTGGAAGGGAACAATCTAAACGCCCGGTCACGAATGGGGGGAGTAAGAAGTCTCAGCCTTCTCGTAAGGGGCCTCGTGCGCGGCCGGATTTGGATGCCAAGCTTGAGATGCTGAGGCTCATGGATGCCAAGGTCACTCGTGAGCAGATAGCGGACCGCTTCGCGTGCTCGGTACGGCTGGTCCGGGATGTGAAGAAAAACCGGCAGAAGTATGAGGCCGAGGCTGCTGCAGGAGGAGAATGCATTACATTTTCTGCGTCACCTGGGACCAGGTGCTTTGTCAAAGCCAACACGCTTCCGGAGGAGATGGCGGCTGAGCTCACCAATCAACATGGAAAGGCCCGGTTCCAGACCGCCAAGCCTGACTCGAAGGCTCTCACGGAGACTGTCAACAAGTTGAGCACGAGTGTGCACGAGGCGCAGCAGCAGGGATCCCGAATCGAAGACAAGGACATCGCCGAACTGTTGGCATAACTCCGCATCGAACCCGGAAAGCGGATCGAGGAGGAAGCGGTGAACGCGATTCAGGGGTGGGCTACCATCGAGGACGATGATGAAGTCGTTGAGGCTATCAGACTGGATACGGTGGACGACATGACGGCACAGCTGAATGGGGTGCACGTGTCTGCCGGCCGCGAGGAGGAGGACGAACAGGAGGACAGGGGCGATGGGGACACGGGGCGTGTGCGCCGTGCCCCACCGGCGTATGGTGAACTGTCGTCTTACTTCGGCGTCCTGAAAGCGGCAGCAGAGGAGAGTGGCAACGGAGAAGCGGCGCTCCATCTAGCGAAAGCGAAGATGACTATGATAGTAGCGCATTCCGCTACGCGGGTGCGCCAGGCGGACATGAGAGAATTTGTCGCGACGTAGCGAGGATGCGGGTACAGCTGTAGCAGTGGTTGTTTTCTTGCGGTGCGCTGCCTGTTTTTTTTTTGTATTTTTTTGGTTGCAACATCGAAGGGGGTGCGCCAGGCAGACACGAGAGAATTTGTCGCGACGCAGCAAGGGCGGGGGTTACAGCTGTAGTTGTGTGCTTTTTTTGGTTTTTGTTTGTTGCGCTTATAAATTGTTTTGTTTCTTGATTTTCATTTTTCAACATCGAAGGAGGGCAACAAAGGGTGAAATTTAGCTTTGAACGAACGAGAGCTTTTCAAACAGTTTGTGCCGGTCACAGCCTACTCGGGTGCATGATGTGTGTTTCCCTTTCGCCGTCGACTAGTCTTGGTGAGGCACTGCTGTAGCCCGAAATGCAACGATCTTATTTTACAAAACTCTTGTGGGCTCGACAGGGCGAAACCGCACGTGTCGCGGGAAAGAAAGTCTGCTCAGGCCTACACTAGAACTTCACATAACAGCAGTGTCGATCCATTTCGTACTACAGTACTGACTTGGCCCCGCAAGCGTGAGCGCTACACCATAAATCGCACACGTTCTCATTAGTGCCAGACCGGCACCAATGAGGGATTGGCTAGCCCTCAATAGTGCCGTTTTGGCATTATTCGCAATAGTGCCGGGTACCCGGTTTAGTGCCGGTGAAATATCTCGACACATACCCGCACTATAAAGGTCCCTCGACTGTATTGTCATGTCAGCGCTTCGGCCCTTGCACCCACGGACGGATACCCGTAGTATCACATATCCTTTGAGAACACCCGGTCTACAAGGCCCTCCTCCCAAAATCAATACCGCCGGTGCGTCACAAATGCTTCGTGAACACCTGGGGTCGTTGTTGCTTTCTTGGCTAGGACACCCCCCGCTGCGCCTTCGAGAAGATGGTGTTTTACAACCCCCCGCTCAGCGGGCAGAAGGTTGTGACATTATTTTCCTCTAAGCAACCGTGACACTCTGCACCAAGGAGGAATCTTCGCGTTGGTCGGAGACTCTCTTTGACGCCGTTTCTTGGCACAATTTGAGCTCAATCGCTCACCCACTACCCGCCTGAGATCCAAGGGACTGTGCAGGTCGCGGGTAAAGGTCATGATCACCCTGCGTAAGGAAAATCAATAAAAAGGCGGAACCAAACGGCTTAGCATAATGTGTAAAGCTTGAGTATGCACCCACCTTTGTATCCCAGCTTGATACCAAGGCCAACCAAAGACATACCGCATTTATTTCAATGTGGACACGTTATCGCGCCCGTAACCCCACCCAACACTCACAACATCCGTGCCCTTCTGTCTTGAACGACTAAAGCCCATGGCCGCGACAACCTCATGGTCCGACGACCCCTTCGCTCGGGGTGCTTGGCACGCTTCTTGCTGCTGGATGTTTCTCGTGTTGTTGGTCGTGGTCGCGATGGTCGTGCTCGAGGAAGGGCCATTGTGTGTGTGTGTGTGCTTGGTAGCCAGTGCTTGGGGGAAAGGGAAGAGCTATTCATAGAGAGACCCATCTGTCAAACATGCGGGAATGCTGAAATGCAGCTCGAGAGCCCCACTTTCATTCCTGGGCATTCTTTCATCTAAACTTGAATTCTGGCATGTAGAAACAGGCCTCCGGGTTGGTAGTTTTTAAGGTTATGATTCACAGTGAACATCTCGTCTCTGCTCCGCTCGACGCGTTCCCACGACACCCGAAGGGATCTCTCTACCAACATCCTCACCACCCTTCCGGAGGGGACTTTCAATGGCCTCACTGCTCTTCGAGAACTGTAAGTGCGTTTGTGGGTAGACGTATCTTCAGCAAGGGCCGATCCTGCGGTAGAGAACACAATCCATGTGGAGTATAGTTTGATGAGCAGTCGGTTTTGCGATATAAAATCTCTGATATCAGCAGTTGTCCGGGAATGTTGGGGAGTATCACGTCATAAAGAAGGATGTACTGCGTTGAGAAAGTGTAGAATTGAACCCCCCCTGCTCTAGGGGGTCGTGTGCCACGACAATGCGGTCGCCTCTACTCTACCGGGGATGATCGATAGCGGGCTCCTTTGATTCCAAACGATCGTCTTATCCTTGCCATCTCACCAGCGATCATATCTTGGCTTTGGAGGATTTGGTAGACTGGTTAGGCCTTGCGGATGGCTATGTACGGTACGAGGACGAGACATTTCTATCTGAAGTACCGTCTCTGATCCGCTCGTCGCGTTTCCTCGACCTTCACAGGGGGATGCCATACAACAACTTCACCACCCTGTCGGAGGGTATTTTTCTGGGTCTCACGTCCCTGGAAATACTGTGAGTAGCTGCACAACGTATGGTGCACGATATACTTATACTGTCGGCGTAGGTTGCTTTTCCGAATGGACCGAGCCTGCTCCAAAGGACACACATGAAGCATTTCCTCGTTGTGCTGAGCTGTTATTTTAGTGCACGGGGTTCGCATTGCTTGCACCATGTAGTCTTGACAGTAGCTGTTCTTCCGGGGTGCTGGTGGGTATCATGGCGAGAACAGGGTGTAACCGCCGGAGTCAGCAAGGCTTGGTACTGCCATGTCAGCCCCCTGCTCTAGTAGGCCGTCAGAAATATGTACTACACCCTAGAATTCCTTGCAGCGGCAATTCGGTCGCCTCTGCTGGACCGGGAAATTATGAACGGATGCGTTATCGTTCAATGAGATTAAATGTTTCCAGCTAACGTGTTGTCCGTCCTTTACCCTCCGTCAACACCCACAGGAAGCTGTACGATAACCGCTTAGCCAACCTACCGGAGGGTGTTTTCCAAGATCTCACGGCGCTTAAAGAAGTGTAAGTAAATAGCTGTGCGACACGATTGATAGTAGAGTGCAATCTCGAATGATCGGCTGATGCGCGAAATATCGCCAGTGTTCGGGTTTTTTCACTGTTTCATTGCTATTTGCGAGAGTTTCGTCATCAGGCGAAGAGATTCTGAGGAGTACCGTGGCGCTGGGAGGGCAACTCCAGCGGTCATGGTTTCTGTGCCGATGACTCCCCTGCCCTCACATGTGTAGTTTCGATGACAAGCGGGTCGCCTCTGATTTCTGGAAATGATTTGTGTTTGATTTCGTTGTTTGTCAATGAGAATCTTGCCCAGTGCGGCGGCGAAGACTTTTGTGACTTTGCCGATGCGCTCCAATGCCGCCAGTGTATCCTCGTTGGCTGATCACACCTTTCAGATTGCCTCATTTGGTACCTGGTTCAATAGCTAACTTGATTCTGCTCTGCTTGTTCCCGTTACTTGGACACCCTAAGGTACCTTGGTCAAAACTCCTTGACCACACTGCCGGAGGGAATATTCCGTAATCTCGGGGCACTTGAAGAGCTGTAAGTAGGTTGAACGACACGTTTAGTTTTGCGGTGCGTGTACACACGTGGCGATCCGTGCGCGGTCGTCCTTTCTTATATTTTGCACACACACACACACGAGCGCGGGAGCGCGCCTGCGCGACGTGCGTTAAGTTGAAACATGTTCGAATATTGCTGGTTTATGTTGGAATTGTATGCCTTCGGGGGGTGGGTGGGGGGGGGGAGGGGGTGATGCCCACCCTCCTGAAAAGTCGGAGTTGAAAATTTTGGACTGTTGATGAAGAAATATTTTTTCGGGGACCATGCCCCAGCCTATGTTAACTCCCTGGAATTCATGTTTCGGATTTGTTATTCTCTTCCCCCTCCAAGGGCGGGTATGTCATTTATTTCCGATATCTGCCCAAACGCGTGCGAGGAAAACTGAAAATACTTGATCGAGTACCCCAGGTCTTTCTTGATGCGACAGCGCATACCCCTTGACTCTGCCGTAGCGTTCTCACTCCAATTTCGTCTGGGCATCTTGGCGGGCTGCGTCCAGGCCGTGATTTATCGGTAACGTGTCATTATCTGCTCCGCTCGTTACGTTCCCCCGACACCCGAAGGTCCCTGAAAAACAACGGCCTCACCACCCTGCCGGAGACTTTACTCCGCAATCTCACGGTCCTTGACGAACTGTAAGTACGGTTTGGTCGAGAGATTTGTTTGCGGGAAACATGCCCTATTATATAACTCGTTCCTTACCTTTGAGAACGCCCCGGGAGCTATGAACGTCCACGCTTTCCTCTCCCTATCGGGTCGGGGAAACACGATATTTTATGGCTGATTCCGTATTTCGCTCCGTCTCACAAGCGCAAGTGCTGGAAATTATCGTCCCCCAATGAGAATGCCCTGGTTTTCGCAAGTGAAATTGCGGCATACAGTACCGTAGTTGGCAAACTTGTTTTTGTATCGTATTTACCTGCCGTTGACTGGAGATGATTGACCATCTGATTCTTTGATTCACATTATCTTCTTGTTTCACCGCACCCCGACTTCTCCGTAACTTTGCCAATGTACTCGAACTTTCTCGTTGGATCAGTCGTGTTGGTGGGGTGGCCATGTACTGGATCAAGCAGTTGTTCCTTGCTAACGTTCCTTTTTTCTCCTCGTCGCGTTCCCTCGATAAGCACAGGTGGTTGGTTAACAACACCCTCACCACTCTTCCGGAGACTGTCTTTCAGGATCTCACGACCCTCCAATACCTGTAAGTAGCCTGGTGAAAAACTTTGTTGTTCGTTTGATTTTCCGAATGGCTGATCCTGCGCTTGGAGAACATGAAGCATCAGGGGTTATCCTTGGTATGCTGAGATGTCAGTTCATTGGATTCACTGCTCTGAGAGAAATGTGGATGGCAGAACGAGTAGTTCGGGGATGCTGTAAACGTTTGGATGTTCTCGAAGCGCAATTGTTGTCGGCGAGGCATGGCACTTGTATGTCAGCCCCCCCCGGTCTAGTGGGCCGTGAGAGGTGGTGCGCAGTGTTGTCGTGAACGGGCAACCCCAACATCTTTTGTGAAGCAGCCCCCCCACCTCCCCCAATAATATTACCCGCCGGTGCATGACAAGTACTTCGATTGCTCGGATCGGTTTTCCTTTTTATTCGCTACAATTACCGCCCTTGGGCTCCGATAGGCTTGGTCGTTGGCTCCGATGAATTCAACTGATAATATATGCGGGTCATCATGGGACGGCTAAGACTCCGTGACTTTGCCCCTGCAGTCTGACACTATCTGCATGTTTAAGTGAACGGGCCTTACCTCGTAGATGCACTGTAGCAGGAAGTGATATCTAGCTGACTCGTTGGCTCCGCTCGTTCTCTTTCCCTCGACACCAAAAGGGCCATGAAAAACAACACCCTCACCACCCTGCCGGAGGTACTATTCCAGGATCTCACGGGCCTGCTGTTGTTGTAAGTAACTGCGGCGAGTTTGTTGGAAGGAGTGTCGCCTGCAAGAGTTGCTCAGGGTAAAAGTCACATCGCACGGTCACGTCGGCCCCACTACCCTAGTGGCTGTCAGTGATGGTTTGCAGTGCACGTGCGACGAGTAGCTAAGTTCGGCTGCCCCGCGAGTTTGCGAAACATTGATCGCTGGCTGCGGTGGTCGGAAATGGTCGTCTTCCCCAATCAGATGGGATTCCACTGGAAGTTTTGTACAGGATACCTACCGATTAGAGCAATCATATCACATCGATATTTTTCAGATCAGTCAACGCTCTCTCTTGGGTGATGACGAATAATGTGGGTCATTTTGTGCTTTGCTCACTGCAATGTCCAGGCACAAATGAATATATCCGTGGGGAAACGGGAATCGGGTCATTTTCAGTGTGGCGACAATGTTTACTCAATGGTTCCCCTTCGTACAGCGCACATTTCCCGACGAGGTTCTACATTACTGAGGAGTGTAACGCTTTCCCTCCAGCAAACCACGAGCGGTGGACAGTGCTCTCTCTATCTTTGACCCTCGTCGCCGCCGTCCTCCTGCGGCTACCGTTCCGGTGCGACGCTGTGTGAACCCCACATGTTGCTCTGTTTGTATCGGTGACAACACGACCGCCCTCCTAACCCCTGTTTCGTCAACCACGTATGACCTTGTTTTGCGTGTCCCATTCTGGCGCCGGTGAAACCTGCTCTTCCGCGGCTTGAATCTTGTAGGAACCTGGAGGAAAACTCCCTGGGGTGCTTGCCGCCCATCCCAACATTAGGATTGTGAGGACCAACGGATGAACGGTATTGCCGATGTGTTGTTTCGAAGATGTTCAATAGTGAAGACATTTCATGAGTTTCGGGAATCTAGCCAGCATCACATGCACGTATCCAGTACATAGTGCCAAGTGTGATTCGTTGCCGCAGTGGGTGTTGATTGCCAAAATATGCAGCGAAACTTGATCTGTGGAAAACGAAGAATATGAGCCGCCTGACCTATGGCGTTGCCCATAATGTTCGAACTCACGGTGGGTTCTGATGAGTGACGCGTGGGTTCGCATCAGAAACGTAGCATCTGGTTCGATACTACATGACGCCCTGCGCTGAACCTCTTATCGTGACAACATGGGATCCCTTGTTCGGAATTCCCTTCGTCTTGTGATTCTCCGATGGAACCATGTTCTTCAAATGGATTGATTGGATCGTCGATTGGACCTCGCCTGTTCACCACGCCTCGGCGGGTTTACCCACCGTGCACACACTCGGCAGGGGGGAGCGTGACGATGATACCATCTCATACAACGACATCGTCGGACTCCGCGTTGACCCTTACGGCGAAGAATGTGGTGAGTGGTTCTCCGAGAAGATAATACAGGCAACCTAATCCGTACCGCTCAACAGGTAGCGAGTCGCCGCCGTTGCAAGCTGCCCCATCAGGTGTGTCACTCCTTCTCCTGGAGGGTGAACAGTAGCACTTTGCATCCCGAACTGCTTCAACGCACCCCTGTTCTTCGTTGCTCGCCGTGGTGAGCAGTACGGAGATCCGGTGGAACGTCGCATTGGGTGGCGTCTATCATGTGATCCTGCGTACTAACCATCGCAGATCGTTTGATGAACAACCATTTGTACCTTGCCTTGCCGCGCCAAAGACATGAAGCATGATGGCTCTCAATATTAATTCAGTCTCGGGCGTCGTTATCATGGAATTGATAGCCGAAAGATGCTGCAACACGTCTGGGCTGCATTTGTTTGGCACTCTATTGACAGCTACGTGCTCTGTAGGAGCAAGTGTCTAACATTTTTGCTCGAGTGTGGTGTTCTTGACGTCGCAATCGGGCGAGGGAGGTTACCTTGCTTCCTTCGGGCGAGGAATGCTGGGTGCCATCCTTGCCAAACAATACTTTCGCCCCAAATGCGCTTAAATGATGCCCAACCCCAATGCGTTGAACTCTTCCAGGGTGTTCTATTCTGGGCGTTACCGACAACGTATGCGACGACGAAATTTGCACTCCTGGACCTCAAGGGTACAACTGCGGTAAGATGTCACAGACCTGAAATGCGTCGAAAACGATCGTTTAAGCTATATCCCTACATGGTGTGGCACAGATTCGCTCCCGGCCAACACAAGTTACTGCACTTGTCGGTGTTTTGCGAGTAGACGCAACTGCTGTCGATCCCCAGATGCCCAAATAACGCCATCTGCGAAGCATTGTAAAACAGTAAAACCTGCTACAGAGCAGACATGTATCGCGGTGTGCAAGACCGAAATAACCATGTAGCTGCTGGTGCAGTGTGTGTGTGCCGTTTGTCTCCAAACCAAGGACAAATGCAATACGGTAGTCGCCAAAACCTTTCCCAATCCATCATCTATCCATGCCACCAAGGGAGGTCACCGCGCCGCGAAGCAGTGTCGATATGTAATAGTTTCGCTTGTATGAATATGAGTAAACTACCTGGTTTGATACTCGCGCTACGGTCATGCCTCACTTTCGCCTACGCTGTACCCCGAAAGCACCCGTACCAGATACGCCCGCACCGACATCTGCGCCAGAACTTACTATGGCACCCGTCTTTACATCCGAAGGTAAGCGTTTTGTACGACTTGGTGCCGCTATCGCTGTTCGACGGGGATATCACGTACTTACAATCGAATGAAAGGCTCCGAACCCTCCTCGTCCTCGCCAAGGGGGGAAAACCTCCTGTTTTGGTCCGAGCGGCACAGGGGATACCCTCGTTGGGCCGTTGCCGTGAGGTGGAGAACCCCAAACTCTATTCTCCCCCGGAGTCGTGCTTTACACATCTGAATTCCTCAGCTCCCTCACAGCTACTCTGTATGCATTTGGCGTTTCATTCGGGAATTGGCGAGGCTGGTAATCATATCAAGTGAGCGGATGATCGCTGTGTCTTTCATGCCTCCTAAAGGTCGTCAGAATTCATGTCTTTGCATGATGTAGTCGGAATCGTTATTTTTCAAGCTGACATGTATGGCGGCGTTCTTGATAGAAAAATAGTTCTTGAGCTGGTGTGCCGGCAGTTTCCCGAACGTTCATCGGCAACTGCCGTTTTTCTCCATATCCATGCAGAGGTTAAAAATTTGGCAGGTGCTCATAATGAGGAGGATCAGAAAGTGTGCTCTTACTCAACGAATCCATAGATTGCGCCCATCCAAGCTCAAGGTCTTTTTCCATGTTGGCTTTTCCGCCCATCCTGCTGGGGCCAGGGTATGTAGCAAAGGTCAACTGGTGATGATATTCTCGGTTGTGCTACTTACCCCGCCAACACTCGCCGACCTGATATCTCGCACGGCGGGTTCACCAGCACCAGAACCACCTACTCCGGTAATAGTCGCGACCTCAGGACCGGTCACGCCTGCACCGGTCATGCCTGTACGGGGTACGCTTGCACCGCTCGGCACGCTCGCACCGCTCGGCACGCTCGCACCGTTCGGCACGCTTGCACCGGGGTCTGTGCTAGGATCTACTCCGGCACCCGGCACGGCCTCAGAAGGTAGGCGGGCTGATTTGTTGCTACAACGTTCTGAGACATATACAAGGTGGGGTTCGGGTATAGCTCATCGGTGCACACGCAGCGCGCGCCACAGCAGCAGAGGGAGTAGAAAAGCAGGCAAGAGCGGAGGGAGAAGCGGGGGAGAGTGTGACTCTTGTCGTATGGGATGACAGCGCACCGTCCCAGCTCTTCGTCCAAGCGGTGGATCATGGTGCGGTCCGCGGTGCGGTCGCATCTCATCCAGACAGCCGTTGTTGTTGAAGACCTGTTGGCGCACCTTTTGCGCGGGGATGGGATGCACAGATACGGTGTTGTGGCTGTTCTCAGCGTAATTTCCTTCTCTCGGCGTGAGAGGACCATTGAATTCAACAGGGTGGGGCCGTTGAGCAGGAATGGCTATATGATTCAACAGAGTGGGGATGCTCTGATAGGGTTTAGCAGAGAGCACGGGGGGTAACGCAAACAAGCTGGTCTGTACAGAAGACTCCATTGATCATCCGTATGTACCCTGTTCCGGGGTGTTGATGGAAGAAAAGCCGACTTGGCGTGACCAGCGATTTCCCGACGACTTCCCCCGCCTCCATGGAACCTCTTTGTTACTCTTCTCTCGTTGTTAAAAGCAGATTCGTCGACGACCAGCATTGTAGTCGGCGTTGTAGCCGGCGCGCTGGTGGCAGCTTTCGTAACACTGGGGGCCTTCCTGCGGCGGCGCCGACAAGCCGCGAAGAGGAAGGACGCCGACCCGTCGGCCCCTTATCTCGACTTTGGGGATAACCTAGAGCATGGCCATGGTGAGCGGCAGCTGGACGTCAGCTCTTCTGTACCGATCCTTGTCGCCGAGGGCAACGGTGCCGGCGGCCCGCCGCCTCCTGCTCAGCAGAGCTCCACGCCGCCGCCCCAACCGCTGCCCCCCCCGAACGCGCCGCACCAGCGCGATGCTCTGCCCCCGCCCCCCCCGTACACGCACGTTGCTGCGCACCTGCCCGATACCCTGCCACCCGCCGCCGCCGATCGGCAGTACGCACCGGCCGCCGCTGAGACCAACACCAGCAACAACAGCAAGCCCGTCGAATCGTCGCTCGCAGCACCAGCCGTGGGCGCCTTGAAGAAGTCCAGCTCTGAGGAAGAGACCACACCCCCACGCGACAAGAACGGCGGCGGTGGTGGCAGCAGCAGGACGGCGGATAAAGGCGGAGGCGGTGGAGGGGACGCGGCGGGGGAGGACAGTATCCACTGCACGGCGGAGCAGGTTTCGCTGCCGCGGACGGCTACAAACTCCACCGCCGAGGTGTCCACGGAAGAACGGACCGCCGAGCTTTCCCGTCTCGGGTTTTCGGTCGACGAAGGGGCCGACGACGCTCCTCCTCCCGCGGCTGCTGCTGCTGCTGCTGCTGCTGCTGCTAGCGGCCGCCGAAAGACCTCCAGCGGCGTCGAGTATGGCCAGGCGGTGCTGGCAGCAGCCGAGGAGCTTGCGCACCATTGCCAGATCCCAGGCGTCAGTGAAGCCGCGACGGTGGTGTCGATTCTGGTACACTTGGTGACGGACAGCCGGGACTCCATGAGCCGGGGCGACGGCGCGGTAAAAAGATGCCGGTCGATCGTGATGATGCTTGAGCGGGCGGCGAAGGTGCTTGGCAACGTGAGCGACAAGGCCCTCGTGTGGGTGTGCATTACGCAAATTTGTTGTCGGCTCTTGCGTGGTTCCAAGCCTAGATTGTTCGAGGCAGGCTTTCTCTCTGCCTACTAACTTCTTTTGGGCTTCGACAAGCAGGATGTAAGGGGCTGCCACATATGGTTTCATCTGTTTCGGTCTTGAATACGACCTGGGTATTCCCACACGTGACAAGGCCTGGCGGTTTGTCGCTGGGAGTTGTTTTGGTGTTTGGTTGAGCCTTGCAAGCCACAAAGCGGCGTGCCTCGGTACGCATGTTGGTTAGGTGAGGTTAGTTTCATGTACATGGAGTGAGAAGTGTTTGTTGAAGCGGTCACACACGGCGCCCCAACGCCCCGATGATGTGCGTGTCCGTTCCCTAGGCGTCTTTATTTACCCATCAAGTAAAACCATTGCGCTTGATCGCTGATGTCCAGGGTGGCGACACGAACTCAGAAGTTGAGCGCGCTTTGATCGAGGAAGTCCACGACGCCGTCTCCGATCTGGTGGACCTAATCAAGACGTATCAAAACAAGAACAAGCTGTCCAAGGTTTTGATGTCGACCCTGTTCAAGCGGCGCCAGGAGGAGCTAGACGCGGTTGTGGACAAGGCCATCTTGCACCTGCACGTGAGTGATCGTGTGCACATGGGTGGCGTGTGAAATGAAAGGTGGTTCCAGAGACTCTTCACGCGGAAGGATTCACTTTCGGTTTGAGGAACGAATAACTGTGTTGAGAGTCAATGGTGGTGTACGGCTCCATCGCGTGAGGGTCACGGGGGGGCATGCCGTCAAAGGGATTCACCAATAACAGGACCTTATGGAACAGTGTCGGCATTTCCTAGATAGGTATTGCGACTGAATCAAATATACGTGTTGATGCCTGGCGCAATGGTCGCTCTCCAATATTTTATTGCCCAGTTTGTCTTGACACATAAACTTTTTGTAAAAGAAACTATTTATTTTTTGCTAGGTGGCGCGAATGGTACGCTCTCGTCCCTCTCATGTCTCGCTTCTTGTCTTAACAAATTTGAGTTGACGAGACGCCGTTCTGTGCGCGTCGGTTTCTGTTTTAATATTTATTTATGTTCCTTGGGGGCGGGGAACGGGCTCTACTTCCCGTTTGTGGAAGCTTGAAATTTCTTTGGCAAAGCAAGGGTACACCTAACGGCTGCAACCCACTGACCTTACGTTCCTACTCCATGCAGTAGAGCTCCTCATGGCGTTGTTCCACGTCGCTTTCCCAGGCAGCTAGCTAGAACTAGATATTTGGCGAAACCTGGCCGTCGGCATTTTGATCGCTTACCGCCCGCCGTGTTCCCCATCGGTTGCTCGGATTTGTGCAGCTGGGGTTACAGGTGCAAGTGGGACAAGATGTCGCGGAAGGGTTGGACCTACACAAGGTGACCGATGATATGGAAACAAGACGGACCATACTCAGGATTCGAAGTTCCATGAACAGTCCTCCGTGGGTTTCACCCTCATGGATTAAACCGCTGAGCAAGGCAGGCTCTGTACACAGCCTTCCCTGGAATGCAGTATCGTCTTGTTCGGAACCCTTCCTAACAGCACATTTTCACCGTTTTGCACACCACATTTCAGCCTGTTCCCACCTTTTCGGCAGAAACGCTTCAGTAGTTTGAGGAGAGTGCCATCGCGTATGGAATGCTGAAAGCTTTCGCCGACCACGTTCCTGTCGATGATTTGACGTTCGTTTTCGACGTATCGCAGAGGTCTACGGCGGAGGCTAAGGCAGAATCTCTGGCGGAAGCACGCAGGGCGAGGAGGCAGCGCAAGCTCGACCAGGTCGAGATCCCCGATGACCACGTGGTCATCACGGAAGAAATGCTGGGAAGGGGGGGCTTTGGCGAGGTGTACCTGGCCGACTACAACGGCCACAACGCCGCAGCGAAGGTCGGGAGCCATTCTCGACCGATGCAAAGTTCAACACAGCAGCTGCGTAGAGTTGGGTGCAGAGTTAGAGAGGACCAACCGCCACCCATTCTCAAGGGAGATATTTATTTTGGGTTTCACTCTTCCGCTGTCTTGTCTTCTTCGTTGCCGTGCTCTGTTCCTTTTCCCTGTCGATTTCTATGTCGCTGCGACACAGGTACAGTACATCATCCATGGCTTCGGCAGACGTGACGATGTACTGAACGGGCCAAAGAGCGGCCAGCCCGATGCCGTGCGAGAAAAGGTCCAGCGAAAAGCGTTCCTGCGCGAGCTGGACGCGATGATTCGCCTCAGGCATCCTCACACCGTCAACGTCTACGGGGCCATCACCTCACTGCCGGACCGCCTGATTCTGGTCCTCGAGCTGCTGCCGGGCGGTGACCTCCGAACCATGCTGAAAAACTCTGAGCAGCCGCTTCCCGAGGAGCAGTCCCGGCAGATCATCAAAGACATCTGCGCGGGGATGGCTTTCTTGCACAGCAAGTCGACGGTGCACGGCGACCTGAAATCCGCCAATATTCTTCTGGATGCGCGTGGAAGGGCAAAGGCACGTTGGGCGTGTGGGGTTGAGTTTGTCTGGGTGTTTTCGTTGTTTCGCTTCGTTTGGGTTCCGCCCCCGCTGTCTTCCGAAGTTTTTGTTGGACGTTCCCCCTTTTGCGACCACACGGGTTTAATGTTGTTATCCACGTCGTTGTTGTGTCGTATGGTAACATAAGCCGTTCCGACTTGTACTCCATTCCTCACATTCCGTATTGATCATATCACTGGGATTCGATTTCCGTGGTCACATAAGCTGAGTCCGAACCCAAGACTGACCAGTGAACATACATCAATGTTAAACGAGGGAGACCTGCGGATTTGTCTTGTTTCTCTCAACGCCCCAGATCGGGGATTTCGGTACGTCGCGATGGACCCAGAACACCGAGAGATCCACGGGGTTGGCCACCTATACCACTAATCCGGGACCAAGCACTCACATCAGCTTCGCATGGACTGCACCAGAGGTGACGGGACGGTCTGTTTTCTTTTCTTTTTGACAGGCCCGAGGTGCAGGCTAAGAGCACGTTGACCTGGCAATTTGATGCACCATGCACAGTTGTGGTGGGAGTGCATTCACGTCAGCTTTCACTCCTATGACAATTGTATCATCGTTGGCGCGCGAGCAGGTGCTGGAGAAAGAGACAACCTCCAAGGCGAGCGACGTCTACAGCTTCGGGATAGTGGTGTGGGAAGTGTTGTCGAGACAGCTACCTTGGGCAGATCAAGCTCAGCCTCGCGACATTTACCTCCGTGTTGTCATTCATGGAGACCGTCCGGCGATTCCCGCGGATGCTCCCGTAGATATCGCGGAGATACTGCTCGGCTGCTGGGCCCAGGAGCCCACCGAACGCCCCACGTTTCAAGCGCTTTCAGGCGGAGAAAAAGTCAAACCGCTGGTGATAAAATAGACTTCGCTTTTTCAATTCGCCGGAGGCCTCTGCTGGTATATGCGCACCTCCCTCCGTGTAGTAAGTGTTTTCTGACATTTTTGAGCATGGACGGCATGAGACAAGAAACACTCATGAGATCATCTGCGTATTTTTCTTGTTTTATTAACATTATCAGGACCCCGAAGTCTGTACTTTCAGGGTGTGTGAAGAGTTTGCTCTTCATTGTGGCGTCTACCATGTTGAAGAGCGAGCGCAGACCGACGAAACCTCGCGCTCCCTTCGGGTGTCCTGGGGCTCATTGGTACCACCACAAGGCAGTCACGGTTGGAAACTTGTGCGTGCACCACCGCGCTCGGGAGCGTGTAACCACTTTTGTTTGCCGCCTTTCCGCGAGAGGGGGACACTGTAAGTTGTTGTGTATTCCCCCCGTCTATCCTTGGCCACCCTTTCTGTATTCCAGCTCCCATAGAAAAGACACTAACCCACTAGGTCGGGCATGGCCAAGCCCGGAGCAGGTTCACTGCTGCGGGCGTGTGCGGGAAACGTTGTTTGTGGCGAAAATTTATGATGGCATGTGGTCGGTGTAGTTTTTGCTGATACTCACGGTGTCGGACTTGCTCAGGGAGCCCCCGTACTACCGGAAGAGGCCAGGGCGAACGTGTAAAGCTATGGGATGCGTTGGAGATCCTAGTTTAGATCCACCGTTGCTGTGGGCTGGGTTCAGAACGTGCCACCACTGCGCACCCTAGCTGAACGCGTGAGGGCTCGTTTGGAGCATGGCCGACCTTGGAGTGTGACCGTAAGGGATTGTCTCTGGGTGTACAGCAGTCCAAGGGATGCCTGCGATTATCACTAGTTGTTGTGATTATTAGCCCAAGTGAGCCGCCTTTGATTCACTTGACATGCTTATGTAGAAGGATCGGATCAGGGCAAACATACCAGCTTAAAGTATATCACAGCAGTAGCAGCGCCTAGTCGTGCTTTCATCTTGCGGTTGGACTTTGTCGGGTGAAGAAGTACTGCCGCTGCATGTGGCTCTCTCCTGTAATATTCTATTAGTGTAGCTACATTGGCCTTCCGGAACGCGTGAAGTGGACACTGCGGGGCCCGTTCTTGGCGGCATGAGTCTTGCCCCCGTCTACCCGTCAAAAAAGGGCCCTACCGTTCCTGCTCTAATTTATTGCTGCCGCTTCATCGATGGCCCCCTGTCTTTTCCCCCCTCGATGTTTTTTTCGTCAATAACGGATATTATGATGTCGTCTCTTTCTTTCCTTTTTGCTTCTTCCCTTCTTGTTATCTCACATGGATGTGACCCTTCTTCATCACCGCGACCAACTCCTTGAATACTCGACCCCACACTTACCTCTAGGGAAAAAAGGAAAGGGCTTCAGATAAGACCGGGGCTACACGGCACTCCTTGACACTCAGCAAGAGGGCGTCGAACCAACACGAACAGCCAATAGATTGTTGAAACCCAATCACTCATGCTCCCCGCGAAATATTGAGAACCGAAACATTTCTGGGCGAGGAAAAAATCTGTGCAGCTGTACAACGTAGGTGGGTCTGTTCCAGCCAGGAACACTGCTGTCTGACGCATCCAAGAACAAGAGGCAGAGAGAGGTCGTCGTTGAAGCTGAAGGACTTCTGCGCCACCGTTTGCCAGAGGCCAAGAAAGCCCGGGACAGTGCCCGTTCGTCGTGTGGAGGTCGCCACGCCAGGAACTGATGGCGTGCAAAAACGTGGAGAAGCCATTCTTTCTCTCTGGCCGTACGCGGCACCAACCGTCGCTTTGGGTTGCGCTGCTGCTGTGGGCACACCTCTGCTACAAACAGCGATACGCTGCACGCTGTTCCCTGAGTAGCAGTCGTAGGGTGCATGAACGTGCGATCCTTTCTGTTCCTTGTTGTACTGCTGCTGTGGGGCGCAGAAACAATAAAACCCCACTGCATATTTATTGCTGACGCGGACATTGACACGTCGCCAAGGATGTCAGCCCAACATAAGGCAACGAATGCTAAAGGTTACGATCATGTTGTAGTTGTCTCCACATTTTGACGATCATGAAACACCACAGTACTCGAGTATCCCAAGATATGTAGAGTACACCGGCCAATCAAGGAACGCTAAAGCCACCTCTCGCGCCAACAGCTCGTTCTCGGGCGTGAGAACGAATTTCAAGTGTTTTCAATTATCGGACAATAGGGTACATTATAGGCTACCTCTCTTAAAAAATAATAATTGTGAGGGCCGATGTACAGTAGAGCTGATGCAGTGCACCTCAGCGTTTGACAAAACATGGTGGAACACCCCCCCCCCCCCCCNATCAAGGAACGCTAAAGCCACCTCTCGCGCCAACAGCTCGTTCTCGGGCGTGAGAACGAATTTCAAGTGTTTTCAATTATCGGACAATAGGGTACATTATAGGCTACCTCTCTTAAAAAATAATAATTGTGAGGGCCGATGTACAGTAGAGCTGATGCAGTGCACCTCAGCGTTTGACAAAACATGGTGGAACCCCCCCCCCCCCTCCGAACATTTTACCTTTGTGGCTGATTTCGTACGTTCTAAAGCGTTTCATGATCTGATTTTTTGTGTACATGCGTTTGTTGCAACATGTATCCATTTGAGGAAAAAAAAAAATGGAATTGATCCACGCCCGGAGACAAAATCCTCACATCCCCGGGTTTCCCGGCTGAAATCGGGACGGATTTTACCCCATTTTTGACCGTACGGCGGTGCTGCGCACATGAAAAGAGCTACAACTAAGAGATTAATGCATGTTGGTCCATTCTGGTCATGTATCGACTCCCTGAAAATAAATTAGGACGAAAAACGTTGCATAGGTGATGCAATGCCCGTTCAAACTGGCATACCTTGGACCTGGCCGCTACGGTAAGAATTCTCCGCGGGGACCCCAAGGCCATTTCCCTTGTTTCACATTCACCTTACACTCCCACAACATGCCCTGTTGTGGGTAGGTGTTTTGTATGACAAGAAACGTTGGTGCAAAAAAAAAATCCATGCATACCTCCTTCTCTTCTTTGTCCTTCCTGGCCTTAGCAAGATGTTCTTCGGCGGACAGGAGACCGCCATCGGGCTTCCCCCGGCCCGCCCGAACGGTCGCAAAAGACTTGGAGAGCTTGGTGAGGCGGGTGAGCCCGCCGAGGAACACGGTGTTCACGCGGAGCCCCTCGATCATCCCTCCCTATCGTTTCAGCTCCAGGAGGGCAGCGTGGCCGAGATCTTTTTCGAGCTGCTTCTTGGAGGCAACGACGGCGAGGTCTTTAGGGATAGGGCGGTCATTCTCCCGTTGCTTCCTCTCGCTGCGTAGTCGGTTGATGGCCTTCTACATGTTCACAGGCCGCAAGCCCGCCCCTTTGAACGCCGCCATGTTATTCGCAGCCGTGAAGCTCCCTCTCCATGCCTCCGCAATCATGCCAGCCATGTCGCGCTTCACCGGGCTCCTCCCCCCGATTTGCAGTGGGTAGGCCGTGAGCACCCTGGTGAGCTCCTTCTTGAAGGTTCCGAATGTACCCACGTCCAAGGGCTGGGTGATGTGCGATGTGTGGGACGGGAGCTGGAAGAGGGCGATGTCCAGAGAGATGGCCAAGCTGATGGCGTCGAAGGTCGTGTGCGAGGCGGGGCCGTCGAGCACAAGGGCAACTTTGCCCTGGGCGCCTTCCGGTAAATGCTGGAGAATGGCGTCCTAGAACGAGTGTTCGTCGGTATGTAAAACAGAGACCGGTTCTAAAAACGTTTCGGCGAGACCAACCGAACGAAAAAAAAAAACGAAAAAACCCCCCGAAAATCTCCCCACATTTTTCAAGATAAACGATGCGGCGCATCCTGTCTCACCCCAAACATCGCCGACTCAAGCCTCGTTCTCCACGGCAATCGACTCCGCTTGGTCGAATTACATACAGAGGACACCACTTTCGAGGTCATCAGACCTACTCTCGTTCTAGGACGGCCGTCCCGACTTGGGCCTGGCCGTGGCTTGTGGCAGCCTCATGCAGGTAGACCGCACAATCGAAATCCGAGGGGAAGAGAGGGTAGTGAGACAGCAGCGGAAGAAGCACAGCCGCGGGATACTGCTAATCAGCCAGCTGTTGAGAAAGGGTACCACCGAGGCAGCTGGAAAACCCGTGCAATCTGTGGTTGCTGATGAAGTTGAGCTCCTCGAAAAGGGTAGAGAGCATGTTGAAGGCATCCGAGAGAGAGCATCGAAACGCGGGAAACGACAGCCTGCTGCTGCTGCTGCTGCTTCATCTGCTGCGGCGAAGAAGGCGAAGCGCGAGGGGGCGGACGCAGCTCTCTCCGACCCTCTAGCATTGGCTCATGATGGCGGGACTAGAAGCGGTGCTACCCCAGAGACTTCGAGGGAGGAAGCGGTGAGTTTTGAGTCACTTCTGAGGTGCTGCTGAAAGGTGTTCCAGAGTGCTTGATTGACTGCTTTACTTTGCGCGCCAGTTCGTGCCAGCTGCTCTGTTCTTGAATTTGAAATTTGGTACACGCGCTGCCCGTCCTCTTTGCCCCCAAGAATTGAGGTCCATTCCACCACGTCGATATCTTAAGCACAGAAAGCGCATTAAAAGTTGCACGGGTTTGGCGACTGCTGTAACTGCTGCAATGACGCTGCTACCGTGGTGTTTATTTGCCGCTCACTCATATGTTCCCCCGACTCCTCCAAAAACTACTGATACGTTGTACGCAGGTTGCGGAGGAGCGTCGTTCCAGCGCGATGGATTTGATGCAGAACGACCCCGTGTTGATGGAGCGAGTACGGGCCATGCTGGATGCTGGCGCGGCAGAGCAGGCAGCAGCTAAGGTGGCGGCGATCGACGCGGCCAACACTCGTGCACTCCGCGCGTCGTTGCAAGCGCTGAAGCAGCACTGCAACAGCTCGATAGGGTGGACCACTTACCAGACAGCGCTCGCTGTAGCAGCCGGAGCGGGAGAGCACACGTGTACTGACACGGACGTGTGCCACCCCGGCCAGCGGTGCAAGCCCGTTGAGTCTGGNACTCAAATTGACCAAGAGACGGAATTTTCGTGTCCCCTGTATCGCTTTTTCCTATACATTCGGAACAAGCTGTAGGGATTTTGTTTCCGGAACAGTGGTCAAAAATCACTCAAATTGGCCAAGATATGGGCAAATCCCCGTTTTGTCCCCGAGGGGGGACGGAAATTTCGTGTCCCCGGCTTCGCTTTTTCCTATTCATTGAGTAAGATAAATCGCCAAATTTCGCTGAAAACCCACCTTCCCGACCCCGGATAAAAAATCTGAGACCGGATATCGCATGTACACACCCAGAGCAACCCACAGTTGACTTTTCAGAGCTTAGGCTGTTTGGCAACAACTCCATTCTCAACCTCACTTCGGCATACCCCGGAAGGCCCCCCTGCAAGCCGCGTGCATCGAGCTGTTCGCGGAGGTCTCGAAGGTAGTCGAGGAACACGTGGCTCTGGATGAAGGATGACTCCGTGACGGTGTACTTCGCATCGGGGACGCCGTTCTTGCCCTGGATCCAAGCGGGTTGCACACGCTGGCCTTTGTAGATGATGATAGGACTGTAGGTGTGGCCGTCGGCGCCGATGCTGGCGACCACCGTCGTATTTTCTCACGAGTTGGACCGCCTCGCGCCGGGCACCTTTGTGCCCGTTGGCACGATAGCCTTCCCCGACTTTGTAACTTGCGAGGTGGAACCTACAACACACACTAGAGAAATCGCGTGCATCGGGGGTGGAGGCAGTCGAACAATCAGTAAAGTACAAATACTTTCGCAGCAGCAGCGCTCGCACACACAAAGAAGCGCGCGTATACACGCACATGAGCGCAGCTCGCACCGGGCGGTGGCACACAGCGGTGGTGACGGGACCATTTTTTTTCTTCAACAGCAGTCGGATTCGTTTAGACTTTGGGTGTGAATCAACAACCCCACACCCATGAAAGTTTACATTGAGCTTGAAACCGAGGTGGGTTTACAGAAGCAAAGCGTCCTACTGAAGTCTCGACTTGACTGCACTTCGCACAGCATTGGCAACACACGTGCATGTGGACCAACACCGCACACGCGCGCTGTCGCGTGTGGCACACAACAAAAACACCGTGTAGAATATCGTACACGCGCCCTACGATTTCTGTGCTAGAGTATAACTGAGATGACCACAGGGATTGTTGCATGCTCAACCCTCAACCGGATCCAGCATCATATGCGCGTTGTGCGCTACAAGCATGGCAAGCAGCAGCGGCCTCGGAAAGATATGCGGAACAACTGCTGCTTTTTTAATTTTTCCTTGCAGCAGTAGAACTCCGTTTTGTTGTGACACAAATCACACATCGCAGTGCTGCTGGTACTTCTAAGATAGAAATACGTCTAAGATACATTATAATAGCAATGAATCCATAGCGTGAGCGAAAGGCTACCTGTATGTCTACGGTTTCCCAGACAGCATACAACGATTACTCCCCTGTGGGTAACAGGCTCAACAAGGCAGTTTGGTAGCTATCTTGTGTATCTATCTGTATGTCATGATGGGAAGTTGTAGACGGAAGATTAAGGGGAACTCGGTTTGTCGGGTGTTCTATTATTGCACCTTTATGTGGTTGCGTAGCAAGCGCGTCTTGGGTTGTGTATAGTTTCGTCATCAACTTATTTTTTGTTTGTGATGTATGGGGGCATATGCGGCGCGGGAGAACATATTTACCTTGTTGTGTGATGGCATGTCGTTCAATGTGAGAAGGGCACGGACGGGAGAACATTATCTCATCATTCCCTCCTGACATGGCCGCCGATAGAGGCGTGTGGTTGGGGTTTTATCACTGACATGTGGGTGTGTATTAAATGCATTGGGTATGGTCTGGTGTGATTTCTGCCGAAGTCGGTTTGACAAGCACGTAGTACAGTCTACCCCGCTTTAAGGACGATCGGGGTAAGAAAACACCCCGCTTAAAGGAAACTATTTTTCTAAGAACCAGGGAGACCGACAGAATGTACGATAGTGGGTATGTACACTATTCACCACCCGCCCCATCTTGTTTGTGTCCTGCGGGCCGCTTTTTGCACGCGCACAGAAGGGGGGACAGGGACCATGGGTAGGGATGAATTTTTGAAAAGCGGCGCCTCTGATTGGCCCAAACAACCGAATTTAGGCTTAGGCCCATTATTCTCCTTTTTTTCGTATTTTATGCTCCTTCTTTTTGGAAAGCATATGCTGCAAAAGTCAATTATGCTCATCGAATATGCTCCTTTGGTCTCGAAATGCCCCCACTTATGCTCCGTTTTGGTGGCGGGAATATGCCTCAAATGCCTCTTTATGCTACCGTGCTACCGTATCACGCTTGTGTTTGTGGTGTTAATGTTAATGCTTCGCCCAACTTCAACAACTACATACGTGTTATCAGTCAGCAGTTTTTCGTTTTCGAAGACTCTCGGCTCTCGTTACCTTCATCACAGTCGTCGCACTCCTTCGAAAACTGGTGCCCAAAACGAGTACTACTCGAAGTAGTACGGAGTGTATACGAAGTAGGAGTACTTCATTATCTGCGGCCAACGAGCTCAACATCACCAGTCTCAATGCAAAGCACCCACAGCAAGCGGAAGCGGCAATTTCTCAGCAGGTTAGCAAGATGAGACGGCAGAAAGCAAAAGCCAACCGCACCACTTTCTCCGCTGTAGGTCTTAAGACCTTGTACTGTAAACCAAACAGCAAGGGCAACAGAAAAATACCTTCTAGCACTCCTGAGACCTGTTGTACTTAAGGAGGGCCGCCGCCTCAATCCGGTCTAAGCGACAATGCTCCTGCCTATCGTCCACGCAAGCACGAAGGAAAGAAAACACCCGTTCCATGAAAGCGGAAGAGGGTTGGATCAAGGCTACGTCTTTGGCTACTTTGTACCAAGCAGATAGTTTAAGCCTGTTGTCATGCCAGAAAGCCCACAAATCGCAGCCGGCATCCGTCTCAGCCGCCGCGACGTTGTACGCATCCATCTCTTCTACGAGGGCGACCACGGTTGGTGTCACGAACGGAAGCACTTCTGCTAGGATGTGTACGTCCGACT